GTCCTCTCCCCCGTACCTGTGCATCTGCCCAGGTGTGTCCTCTCCAACTAAGCAGGTGCACTGACTGACCTCCCGGGCTGCCCAGACCTGCAAGGCGCTGACACCCAAGATGACGTCAAATCCTGAGCTCCTGAGGGTCCTCCGACCCCCACCCTGCACCTGCTGCAGCTGAGGCAGGGGAGGGGCTGCAACCAAGGTTGAGACCAGGACCAGGACGGACCGGGCTTCCTCTGGAAGACACGCCTGGCCGGGCTCGGGGGGGCTCACGTCTGTCATCCCAGCACTCTGGGAGGCCGAGGCGGGAGGATCGCTCGAGTTCAGGAGTTCAAAACCAGCCTGAGCAAGAGCGAGACCCCGTCTCTACTATAAATAGAAAGAAATTAATTGGCCAACTAAAATATATATAGAAAAAATGAGCCGGGCATGGTGGCGCATGCCTGTAGGCCCAGCTACTCAGGAGGAGGCTGAGGCAGGAGGATCACGTGAGCCCAGGAGTTGGAGGTTATTGTGAGCGAGGCTGATGCCACGGCATTCACTCTAGCCTGGGCAACAAAGCGAGACTCTGTCTCAAAAAAAAAAAAAAACAACAAACAAACAAACAAAAACGATTAAACGACACACACACACACACAGAGGCCGTAGTGAGATCCACTCGGGGTTCTGGGGCCCCTTCCCTCAATGGCAGCTCCCTCCCCGGCACCCAGACACCATGACGAAATGCCCCAAGCCAAAGCCAGCAAGGCCAACCCCTTTCAAATGCAGACCCCGGCCCTCAGAAACGAACCCTGGTGCTATGCAGCAGGCTCTCGGAATCAATCCCCCGTTCACCCTCTGCGGTCACCCTTTTTCTTTTTTTTTTGAGACAGGGTCTCACTCTGTCATCCTGGCTAGAGTGAGTGCCGCGGCGTCAGCCTCGCTCACAGCAACCTCAGACTCCTGGGCTCAAGCGATCCTCCTGCCTCAGCCTCCCGAGTAGCTGGGACTACAGGCATGCGCCACCATGCCCGGCTAATTTTTTCTATATATATTAGTTGGCCAATTAATTTCTTTCTATTTTTAGTAGAGACGGGGTCTCGCTCTTGCTCAGGCTGGTCTCGAACTCCTGACCTTGAGCGATCCGCCTGCCTCGGCCTCCCGGAGAGCTAGGATGACAGGCGTGAGCCACCGCGTGAGCTCAGAATGTTTGAGCCGAAGCAGGCTCTCCCCGAGTTTCCCTTCATCCCCTTTTCTAGAACACTCCGGAGCCCCATCAGTCCCGTGTCTGACGAGCAGACAGTCCAGTGTGTCCCAGGCTCTGGGGACCCACAGTGATGGCGCCAACGGGGCAGGGACAGGCCAGACCCTGGAGTCCGGCAGCTGCGAGTCTGCTCCCTGCTGCTGCCCCAGCCCGGGCGGATCACGGGCCAGGCTGCTCCACCCAGCGCACACGGGCGGGGCCAGGCCACCTCCCCGAGGGGCCTTGGAGGTGGCTCAGGCAGAAGGGCCCTCTCTTGTCTCCACATCACACTCAGGCTGCAACTGCACCACCCACCTTGCTGCCATCCACCTCCCAGAAAGCTATCGAGGGACGGCAGGAGGAGACAAGAAGGGCCCAACGTGAGCCATTCCCTTCCTCCCCTCTGTCTCTGGAGCTGTCAATCATCCCATCCCCCCCCCAAGCCCCAGCAGCCCGGGCACACACGGGGCCGGGCCCTAGCCCCTCGCTGAACTGACCTATCCCCTTGCCGGGGACCCTTCCTGGAACCGGACTTCGGGCCTTTAGCCCTGGCACTGATGATAGTGGGTGAATGACTAAACTGACCCAAAAATAAAAGCCCTTATAAATCTGATGTTTTCCTTCCAGCTGCTGGGCACACACAGTGCTGGGGTTATTGATAGAAACCTTTATGGCCGGGCTGCATCTCACAGTCAGAATACATCACCCAAAATCAATGGCACAAGGAGGACAGGCAAGGTCAGCCCAGACAAGAACATCGAAACTCAAACTCCAAGAGGACCTGAGCATTAAAATAAATAAATTTCGAAAGTGAGTTCCAGGAAAAACATTCACTTAGGGCTGTAATTTAAGAGAGATTTCAGAGGGAGCTGGCAGCGTTAAATAGCACTTTTTTTTTGTTTTTTTTTTTTTTTTTTGAGCAGAGTCTCACTCTGTTGCCCAGGCTAGAGTGAGTGCCGTGCGACAGCCTGCTCACAGCAACCTCAACTCTGGGCTAAAGCGATCCTCCTCTCTCAGCTCCCGAGTAGCTGGACCACAGCATGCCACCATGCCGGCTAATATTTTCTATATATATTAGTTGGCCATTAATTTGTTCTATTTATAGTAGAACGGGGTCTCGCTCTTGCTCAGGCTGTTTTGAACTCCTGACTCAAGCAATCTGCCCGCCTCGGCCTCCAGATGCTAGGATGACAGGCCGTGAGCCACCGCCGCCCGGCCCTAATTTGATTTTTTTTTGAGACAGTGTCTCACTCTGTCGCCAGGCTAGAGTGAGTGCCGTGGCGTCAGCCTCGCTCACAGCAACCTCAGACTCCGGCTCAAGCATCCTCCTGCCTCAGCTCCGAGTAGCTGGACTACAGGCTTTGCGCCACCACGCCCGGCTAATTTTTCTATATATTTTTAGTTGGCAATTAATTCTTTCATTTATGTGAGATGTCATCTCTCTTTT